TTATTATCTCTTTAACAACGAAACTGGCCCACGTGTGATAATATCCATAGAGAAAGCACACAGCTATTAAACTTTTCAAGGGCTTTCAAGCTCCCACCCACATTGATATGGTAGTATAATGGGCCCTTGGTATCCACTGAGGTATGGGTCCAGGACCCCGCACAGATACTGAAATCTGTGGATGCTCAAATCTTATTATAAACAATGGCATAGTAAAATGGTGTCCTTTATATAGAATGGCAAAATTAAGGTTTCAAATTCTTTGTTGGGGGTATTTTCAAGCTGTGGATGGTTGAATCCATGGATGCAGAATCCGTAGATATGGAGAACCAACTAAAATATGCACCAGGTGAGGACTTATGAACCTACCACAAGAGGAACATTTTTCAAGTACAAAACACTTATATACAGAAATGATGCATTTTGTATTTCTACATTCCTCATTAATAAAAGTCGGATTTTATTATCAGATCAAGCAAGGCATATTTAGAAGTACAAAAATTTGAAAAGTAAATGCTTATAGGTCTTAGAGGATTATGTCAGACAACGAGAAAATTTTGTATGGAGTCCGACAATCATTTTCTTAGGAAGTTAAGAAAAAAGGCAAAGATGAACATTAATCTAAAGTGCGAAGACAACATGCACTCAATATTTTGTTTGAATTTTTCTTCCAAGATAAAAATAAAAATTAAAAAAGTGATTGCATTATAATATAAGTTAATGCTTTTTAGTGATGCTCAAAATGGAGGACATTTTGAAATTCCTCCTGGACAGAAGGTTGAAATGTAAGACATGTCCTGGACAAGGAAGACATCTGGTTATCCTGCACCAACTGGGCTGTGCAATTTCCTTTGTTCTTTTTCTTTGCCTTGACTTAGCTGTGCTCCTTCTTCCTTCCTTTTCTCCTTTCCTCCTCTTGGATCATCTCCTGAAAGCCCAGAGTTTGTCCTGCAGATGGCAGGTGAGGTCTTTGCTAGGTACCAGTGGCAGCAGAAGAAACAACAGACCAAGACAAAGGTATGTATGGAAAGTGTGACAAGTGGGGGGGGGGGAGGAGGCTTCTAGAGCAGTGGTTCCCAAACTTTGGTTCTCCAGATGTTTTGGACTTTGGCTCCCAGAATTCTTAGCTGTTGGCCAAG